AACACTTAGTTAACATCCTAATTGTTTAATTACATTTGGCTAAAGCCACCGTGAGATGAGCTGACAGTTCATCTCGCGGTGGGTTTCTCAGGAGTGAAGCGTTTAGAAATGCCTTGACAACGTGACACATTTGCTGAGGACCGCATTATTCACTTTCCCCCCCTCGTCTATAAAACATGGGAGCAGCTCACCTGTCTCCTGGGAGCCGGAGTTGATGTTGCTGACCGGCACTCTGCCCGTGGTTCTTTTAGTCCACGGGTTGACTTTCGGCGGAGGGGCTTCTACAACTTTCTTCTTCACCGCCTCGACAGCCGAGTCAGCGTTACCGCTCTGTTCGTTTTCTTTATCGTTTTCTTTGCTTTTCTTATGCGTGTCCGCTTGGCTCTTGGTCGACTCTTGCTTGTGGTCGTCCGCTTGCTGCTTCTCCGTGCCCCTCTGCCCCGGCTCCTCTTGTTCTTTGTGCAGATGAGCTCCCTCCGACTTGTTTTGGTTTTTGTCCTGCACCCCGCTGGAGCTGCTCGCTGTCAAACCCGAGTCAACCTGGCTACACTCAACCTCGGTGGACATCCTGCTGGTTTCCTGACAGCGCACGGTGTCAAAGCCAGTGTGGAGTCGTGGTTCTTGTTTTCCTTGCAAAGAGAAAAGTCGTGAACAGCTCGGGGGGTGACCACATCCACTCGAGGCAAACAAAATTTGGGCTGGACCTCGCTAGCCCGCTAGCCAAGAAGCTGCTGCAGCTAACTGTTAGCTAGCCTGGGACCATGCAGAAGCCAGCGAGCCCGAGTCAGAAGCTTTTTCCCGCGATATTTAACAGTTTCATATCATTTAACAGTTTCCTTCGAGCGTGTAGTTAGCTTCCATAAACGCGACAAGCCCTTGTTTGGTTCTTTGGGACTTTTAATAACTTTAGAGAGAGAAAAAGAAACCTACTACAGCGACCTCCTCTCTTAGTGTCTAATTTCACCTCCACGCTACCAGCAGCCAGCTCGTGCAGCAAACTCTCCTAATTCTGTAAACACTGGCTCTGCTGCCCCTATCGGCCGTCACTGGGAACTACATACAAATATTTACAACTATTTTTGAACACATTGTGGAATAACATTTACCGAGCTGTGTCTTTTATCTCGTCTACTTATGGTCATGTATCAATTATACTAACGTGCATAGATTGAGTTAAAACTGCGACAAGTGAGTATTTAAAATAAACTATTTAATATATTTGGCGTAAAAGTAGGCAATTGCATATTCACTTTTGGGAACCATAGCGAATTAAAATTCCTTTTAGGAAAAATTGGACGTCAAACTAATTTCTTCAGTTTTATTTCTTTTCCAGTATTAGTACTGGTGCCTTTGTTGTATTAACCTTCTGAAACCAATTTAAATATATATTTAAATATTCCCATCTAACATTATCTATTAATGTTATATGATGGTAATGTATCATGGTATCTATTTAAATCATCAAAGTTATTAATGTATTATTACATAATATATATTATAATATAGATATTACCATATTATACCTATCATTTAGATATATATAATATTACCTATTATATATAAATATAATAGATATATTACATGTCTATTATGTTAAAATATTTGATGACAAAAACAAAGAAATCTGTAATTGGTAGTTGTATGTTCAGTAGAAAACTGATTCTCTAAGCTCATTCCTTTATAAAGAAATGGCAACAGATAAAACACTATCACTATGTGCAGAAGAAAACTACCGCTGCACCTCAGACTGACCATGCCTTCATCAAGCTGAAACACGGTGGTGGTATTATTATGCTGTGGGGATGCTTTTCTTCAGCAAAGAAAGTGTCATTAGTAAGATTTAATGGAAAAAATGGATAAAGCTGCAAAACATACAGCCAAAGATACCATACACTGGTTTAGATTAAAACAAATTCACTTTAGAAAGTTCAGCCCTGAACACAATCGAGAACTTTTGGGACAATTTGAAAATTGCTCTTCAAATTGTCAGTCCAGTGTGACTGAATTTGAGATATTTTTTGCAAAGAAAATCTTGAACACTTTCCATTTCCCAATGAGCAAAGTTTCTAGAAGCATGTCCCAAAAGTGTTACAGCTGAGTAATGACCGAAGGGGCAGAAGAAAAATGCACACAGCTGGTATTGATCCAGCTTTTAAAATGAAAGTTTCCAGTTTTTACCTGTACACCATTTTAAAAGCAACGTACCATTTTCATTCAAATTTAGAACAATGCACAACTTAACATTAAACTATCAAATCAAATGACAATAAAATACATTAAAGTTAATAGTTGTTACACGACAACGGGAATGAGTTCAAGACACTTATGATTTGTAAAAAAAACAACAAAAAAAGTTTTCCTTATTGAGTGATGAGTTCTTCATCTTTTCTTAAGTGCTTTTCAGCTATTGATATAGCTGGAACCAGACACTCGGGCCAGTTCGACTGTTTGTGCTTCACTCTGCTTGTTAAATTACACACATTAAAAATCTGAAAGCAGAGTCATCACTATCAGATCAGATGACACGTTTCAAAGTCTGGTGTAGATATAAGCTGCTGGAGAGATGGAAAAAGATATGTTCAGTCATAATGTGTGGGAGCATTTAACTCCAGTAAATTGTGAGGATACATGAGCAGTAGAATTACACATCAACCTTCCACAAAATATCAAAACGGAATCATAGAAAAATGAGCAAAGTTGTATTTTCTTCAGATACCATTGGAAGAACAAAATAGGGTCAAAAAATATTTGCCAATTTCCAAATTCATGTCGCTGTTGTTTTCTTGTGACACTTAAATCTTTTCAGATCTTCAAAGGTAATAACCAGAGTAATTGCAAATTTGCTTTCAACTGATGATCTTAATTATTAAAGGGTCAGTGTTATGCAAAATAAAACTTTTTCAGCTTTACATCATGTTACGGTGTTATTCCCTCATCAAAAACATACCTGGAGTGTTTCCTTGATTCTTTTCTGCATGTTTGAGAAATGCTTTAATCTCTAAAGCAACCACTTAGCTGTGCAAAACCCCTGGGTGGACCAAGCTCCGCCTTTGATGACGAAGCTCCTCCTCAAAGCTGCAGTTTCCAAGCCTTCAAGCTTTGAACCTCCTCCCTTCCTGCCCCCTCAGCTCCTTCAGACTAGCCAGCAGTAATTAGCAAACACCTGATGGAACTCCTCATTTGTTGAGTTTGCTATAAAACCTATTTCTCTGTGGAATGCTGGTAGAAATGTTGTTATGGGGTTAATAAAGGAGCCCATGTGATGATGACTTCCTGAAGGTGGAGTTTCAGGAAGAGTTTGAAATTTTAAAGAGACAGGCCCAACAAGCCGTTAAAGAGATGTTAAAGCATATAGTCAAACTTAAGTCATATTAGATGTATACAGCATTTTATAACAACTGAAAGTAACACAGTTTCTTGATTGAACTATAAAAGGATACTATATGGCTAGAAAACACATAATACTGTCCCTTTAAGGCAAGGCAAGACACTTTTGTCTTAGCATTCCACATAATATTTTCTGCAAAGTCTAAGAGGTCATCAGGATTTTTTTTTTTGGTAAACGTGAGCTTGGTCTGTGTGTACTTTTTGGTCAGCAGTTGTATTGACTTTGGAATTTCATATGGAAGGCATTTTAGCCGGTCTCTTTCTTACTGTCAGATTATGGACACTGATGTGAACGGAGGAGACCTGGAGTGCTTGTTCAGGTTGAGATCGATAAGCTTTTGCAGTCATTTTGGTAGGCTGGCCACCCTAGGGAAGGTTCACCACTGTTCCATGTTTTCTTTTTCCTCACTGAGGTTAACTAGCTTTTTTAAATCTTTCTAGACTGACTCATATCAATCACTGTTTCTCACCCGTTTTTGAATTTCTGTGGCTAACGGCTTGAGTGGCCTTTCAGTCCAGTTTGATACAGTGAGTGTTTCACTGTGAGTGGTAACTCTGCCTTCAGCAACATTCTTCACAAAGTCTTTGGGTTTTGTTCTGGGGTCAATTTGCAAATTTTTGACCAAAACCCGTTTATCTCTGGGACACAGAATCCGCCTTCTTCCTGCTACGATGGCTCCCATGATTCCCATCGTGTCTGTACTCGAAAATAATTGTTTGAACAGATTAACTGCACCTTCAAGCATCTGGAAACATTTCTTTTGACATTTTGTTTGACTTTCCCATGATGCCAAACAAGAAAGCAGCGTGTTGGAGGTGTGGCCTTAAAATACATCCATAGGTGAACCTCCAGTTAACTCACATGTGCCGGTCAACCTATTAGAAGTTTCCAAAGCCATGACATCATCTGGGCTTTCCCTTGTTGTTTAAGGAGATAGTTATCATTCTTTATCTAATCCTCTGATTTTGAAAGCAATAATAAACAAATCTCTGGCATATCCTTTCTCTTATTATTGTGGCATTTAGCAAATAGAAACAATTTTGGTGATTCTAACAAACCCAAAACAAGAGAAATTTGGTTTGGTTCAACTTCTGACAGTGAGAAAAAGGGTGTAGGTAAACTTCTGCTTTCAACTGTAAGTGTTAATAATTACAAGGGAAATAATACATGGTTTTCAATATTGTTTATAAATAAAAATATCAAAAGTGTGGTATATTTGTTTTCTGTTCTCTTTACTCTGGTACTTATAAATAAAATAAATCTGGCTTTTATATTGTTGTTTAAAAAAAACACAAATAAAACTTCCATCTTCACACTCATTTGTGTTTTAAATAATTCACAATTAAATACATTTTGACTTCAACAAGAAAATGAATAAGTAATCTAAACATTTTAATTGCTTCATACTGCTGCAACAACCACATCAATAATAATCTTAATAATAATAACTATTGTGATTTTAATAACTTTTATTATTATTATTTTAGTTTTGTTTTGTTTCCACCTCATGTGTTTTTCATTATCACCGGATAGATGTCATGGTGTTGCCATGGTGCCTCTGGGGGTCAAATGTTGACATCCCTTTTTTTTTTTTTTTTTTTTACTCTCATCACTTTTCTACCTACTAAAAGTAAACAAATGGATGCTGCAGCGCTCTGCTGTAAAAACATGAAAAATGTGACTAAACAGCGGGAATTACAGCGACGAAAATGCCCGGACAGAAGAGAAAATACAACGTACGGTTCCCTCCTGTGAGTACTGCTATCTCTGTGTTAAATATCAGCTGTTTATAGTCAAACAAAACCAGCTAATGGCTAGCACACGCAGCATGGAGTAGAGGGGCACGGGATGTGTTTAAGGACTACCGGATCTGTCGGAAATCTTGTTAGCATATAGAATCAGACTGTGATAAGGCAATCAGTAGTTTCCGATAAACAGCAGTTTTGACTTGTAGGCTTAGTTTCGACCGCTGTTTAGGTGCATTTGTTGTGTAATTTACATGGACGAAATCAAGTAGAAATGCGATCCGTGATCAAGTTAGAGTCCAGTGTCAGTCAGTATACCGGTGGCAATTGTTATGTAACTTAACATTCACATTAATTTGAACAATTTGACCATAAAATTGTTTTTAACAGAGCTCCAACAAACTAACGGTTTGCATGAAGACTGTTTTTTTTTTTTTTTCTTAAATCTTTGTTATTGTTTATAGGGTCGAATCAAAAAAATCATGCAGAAGGACACAGAAGTTGGGAGAATAGCGATGGCAGTTCCGGTGATCATCGGTATCCTTCAAGTTGTGGCAAAAAAAGAAGCAGAAAAGAAAACTGACTTAGTTGTCAGTTTTACTGATCTTTCAGACGTCCTTTAGCTGAGCATCGGCTTTCATCCCGTCTAAGCGATGGGAGTTGTAGTCCAGATACGTAAAAGCTTCCTCACCTGCGTTAGACATGATATTTTCTCCCTACAGCTTACAAGTTATTGTTTTGATTTTGTTTGTTTGTTTTCAAAGTCAAATAAATGACAGACTTAACACAACAAACTGAACTACTCGACGATGCACTGTGTGGTTAAAAACCCATATTTAAAATCAACCAAACTCACTTTAGACATAGTTCCTCACCTATAAAAATACATTTCATGTTCATTTTAAGTATTTTTAACATTTATTTAGTATGTGGTTAATCAATCAAAATGAAATCTACCCTACAAACAAACTTACTCTGCCGCATTTTGCTGACATCACAGCAAAGACATGAGACATAAAACAACTGACCAAACTTTCTTTTGAGTATGTCTCTTTGCATATTCTATACTCCCATGTTACTTTTTTATAAATCTAATTCTTCCTTCACTTTCTGTGGCATCTAATCAGAATTACTTTGAACTTTATTTGTTCTAGTTTTATTTCAAATTTGCCTGAATACAAATGAATGAGTAACATCTCAGACATCTTGAGTTGAGTTAAAATTAAAAAAAAGAAGATCTTTCCTGTAGAGCTTGCGGATTCCTCAGCTGGAACAAACAGCCCGGGCTTTGGAGATGTTCCTGAAGTCTTTGCTGACCAAAACCTGCTTGATTACTCAGGCGAAGTTCAACAACGTCGTGTCTGTGGCTCACATGTGAGTATCTCTGTTGTTCTGTGACACTGATCCCAGATCAGCAGTGGGATGGGATTTTGGGGGTAAGTTAGAATATGATTTGAAAATTTTATTTATTTCAGTAATTCGGTTCAAAAAGCAAAACCCCTGTATTACATTGATTGATTATTCACAGACTGAATGCATGTTAGGAGTCTGTTTCTGTTCATTTTGACACAACATGGCTTTTCTTTTCTTTTCTTCTCTTTTCTTTTCTTTTCTTTTCTTTTCTTTTCTTTTCTTTTCTTTTCTTTTCTTTTCTTTTCAATTCAGGAAGCAGTGCATAGAGTCAGAAAAATTGTTTCATTTTCTCAAAGACCTGGCAGAGGGAGCCACGTCTACAGCAACCCAGAAGGACAACCGAGGCTTGAGTGTTTGGCCTCCCATACACAGGTAAGGTCAGTTACACTTCTGATATCTGAAATGGCCCTTTAAACGCCCAGCTCCTCCTCAGAGCTGCAGCTTCCAAGTTTCAGCTTCACAGAGTACCCCTCCCCTGCACAGCTCCTTCAGACTAGCCAGCAGCAATTAGCAAACACCTTGTGGAACTGCGCGTCTGCTGAGCTCATAAAAGCTACTTCTCCGTGACAAATATGTTGTTAAAGGGTTATTAGCGAAGCCATGTTGTGATGACTTTCCGAATGCGGCATTTCAGAAAGAGCAGGAGTTTTCTAAAGAGACATTGGCTCAGACTCAAGGCATTAAATTTCAAAGTCAAAGTTTTTTTAAGTCATATTTATAAGGTAATATAGTTTCTTGATTATGATATAAAATAGCACCATGTCCCTGGAAAATACATAATACTGCCCCTTTAATAGTGTTTTGTGGTCAATGTGGATTTCTAAGCAGAGTAACCAATATCTGTTTTCACCATAAATGTAACATTATGCAGTTTATTGTCTTTCAAGGAACAAAAAGGTCAACGTCGCCGCTAAAAACCCATCTGGAGCAGGAGAGACTGTTCCCCAAAGGAGCCACGGCCCACACGACACCGACTCAGTTTCAAGTGTACATATCCGGTTACTGAACACGCAACCGACACACACCCGACCGACAGCTAAGGAGGTAGAATTGGTGTCTGGTGAAACACACAGGACCAGTGAAAAGTTTAGATGCGCTCATCGTGGGTGTGATTGTCATGTTGATTTTGGACTTTTAATAGTTAATTTGAACAGTTCTTCTTCTCGGGTGGAATCGTAGTTCAGCACACGACTTCAGTGAATTCTAAAATCAAAACTGAGGGGGCAGAATTTTATAGTCATCGTGGATTTTTTTTTCCTTGCTCCACCTGGGAGAGCAAACTATAAATCCTCAGATATATTTATAGGTGTGTAGGAAGAACTAGTTATGACTTTGCTGTTTTAATGTTTGAAGGTCAAAGTGAATTTGAGGTAAACACCAAATATTGTCTGGAAGTACTTTACCCTATTCTAGCATATGTTATTCATAATGTAAGTACTGGTTTCATAAGATTTCTATTAGAAACAGATTGATTTGGGAAAACATTTCTGCTGCTCAAAACTTATTTTCTAATTATATTTGCGTAAATGTTTTAATTTTAGTTGTTAAATTTCCCAAACTTGCACATAGCTGTCTTCTTTTGTCTGGCTGATGACATCATTGTAAGATATTAAATCAGATGAGTTACTTCAGTAGCCTTTTTTATGGAATACTTTTTTTACTCTTGAGTAAATTCCTGGACTTTTACACTTTTACTTGAGTAAAAATATGCTGAAGTAGAGCTGCTCTACCCTCTGACACCAACTACTGCTAGATGGACAAAAATGTCCCTTTGCATGTTGTGTCACATGCTTTCTGTATCCATCAACAAGCTTCTGGACAAATTCTGTTTGGATTTTTTTTCATCGCTGCTCTCATCACAAACAGAAGATGATACTTAATACGTTTTAAAGCATGGTTTTTTTTAAGCGTAGCTCACCAATAATTGATAGGGTTGAGGTCATTCCAGAGGCTTTACTGTTAGCCTATCTTATTTATTCCTAAGCCTGTTTGGATGTGTGTCTGCCTGGTCCAGTTGGAACAGAATAGTTGCGTCCTCGCCAGGAAACAATAAATTTAAATACATTTTACATTTCCTGATAAGCAGCCAAATCTCCGGCTTGGAAATATCTCTGCGACTTTTCTCACAGCTACAAAAAGCGCAAGCGTTCTCTACGATCTTTGAGAGTTAAGACATATTTACATCAAACATGCTTCATTAAAAGGCCAAAATTAACGATATTCATGCCCTTCTTATTGGCACTCTGAATTCATATCTGAGTAAATGCACCCTCTGTAGATATACCAGGGTATTGCACATTGGGGTAATTAGTAACTACTTCATCTTTTTTTCTTCTTTTTTTTCCCCCCCAGGAGTCGAAGCTCTACATCTGCTTATAACGTGGCCTTCCCAGCAGCACATCTTTTCTGTTCACATGTCATTAGGCTTTGGAGTGACTCAACAAAACAAAACAAAACAAAAAAAAAAAACAGACAAAAACTCTGTTCACAATAACCTACATCAATCTGTTTTTGGACAGTAAGAGGGAAGAAATTGAATTTATGCAACAGTTTGAATCTGAACCAACATGCAGAGCTTTGGTAAAGAACAGAACGTCCATCCAGGACAGATTTCTGCTACAGTTTTTTTTTATTTTGTGTGTGCATAGTTTTGAATACTTTGAAAGTCTGCACTGTTAAATGTAAGTTTTGTGTTTTTTTTTTTCATTTTTAGCTTGCCTGCAGATTTGAGGTTAGCATCATGAACCGTTTAACCCCTGTAGCCTTCAAATGATTGATTTTTTGTTTTGTTTTGCCGATTTTGTTAATTATAAGTGCTTACTTTTTAATATTTTTAAAGCACTTGTAAATACATATTTTTTTGAATGAAACTTGTAAATAACTCAAGGCAGGAAGTAAATAAAACTAAGCAAGAGCTTACAGTAGTTTGTTTATTCCAAGAAACTATTTCTTTAAACACGGTACTGGGCTGCAGTGAAGAATAAATAGAGGAATTCTGTTCTTAGAGCATTTTTTACTGTATATTTACATTTTTGAAGCCATATATGGTCAAACATACGCAGTTTCACAGGCTTTTTTTTTCTGGAAAAAAAAAAAACTGATGCTGACAAACAGTTTTAATCTTCCAGTTTCAAGTCTCACTGATGCTGGTCCTGTAATGTACATGAACACAATCTCACCAGATGAGGTTGTAATACACACCGTCTGAGCTCATACCCCTCCCCAACAACATTTTTAAAATGAGACATGCATCTTAGTTCAAATCAACTTTACTACAATGACTCAAAATGGATAAAATGCATACAAAATAAACAGTTTTTCAAGTGTTTTGGCTTCTTCGCGAACCGAAGCAGATGCCAATTGGAAGTGGTTCACCGGATTCCTCTTTCGTCCGACACGTTTTCTATTCGGTCCCGGAAGGCACGGTCTGCCTGCGCTCTTTTCAAGAACCGAGCCGAACAGCAATGGGGGAAAAAAACAAAAACAAATCAAAAATTAAATATTTCCAGCGATTAAAAATTTTTTTTACACGTACAGTGACGGAGTTGTTTGTTTCATGAACTCGTCCTACGAGTGTAAAGCTGTTCTGTGTCAAAAAAAGGAAAAAAAAAGAGGGCTGGAGGGGCGAGGGGAGAAAAAAAAAAAAAAAACTACAGTACAGCTTCTTCAGAAAAGTCGTGCTCCATAGCCAAAAGTCTGTTTGATAGCTTCAAAGTAGTATCTCTTCCAGCCGCCTTTCGTCTGTTCCTCTTCGCTGTTGGGGACGCCTCGGTACTCCACCTTCAGCTCCGTCTCATTGCTCCGGTCCAGGAACATCAGGGTGATGGTGGCGTAGTGCTCTGTGGTGCAGAGAGGCAATCAGTTTCCAAAATTAAAAAATAAATAAATAATAAAAAAAAATATATATATATATGCATTTGACAGAAAAACCTGGAATGTGATTAAAATCTTCACAATGTGGGAAAATTTTCATTTTTCAAACCCCCACAAAATAATAATAAAAAAATATTGAGTAGACCTTCTGCATAGGGAGTACATTTTTATATGCAATGTTTTTTTTTTAATATTTGTGGAAAAAAATATTAAAAACTGTTGCTGTGACAGAATCTGATAAAAGAAAAAAAAAAAAAATTGAGCTCTAAAACAACCAATCAGAGTCAAGGGGAGGATCTTAACTCTGTCAATCATGACTGTGTATAAGCTGTTCTTCTCTGTAACATAAAAAATAATATAAAATATAAAGAACCTACCACAGGGCCAGTTGTTAAACCTCCATTTCATTACTATTTTCTCATCGGGTACCTGATGACGAGAGGATTTGTTGTTGTTAGCCTTCAACCATTTTCTACATGTGTTGTACATTATACCTCAAATAAAACAGGAGTTTTCAGTGAAGTTTTCATTATAGTTCTTGGAAACGTCGTCCTCACCAGCTCTGTGAATTCCCCAAAGACGTTTCCTTCTAGCAGGCGAAACTTTCCACCCCTCTCTCCGTCCACTGTCGCAGGACTGCGTGTGAACGCCTGGACCATCTGCACACCCAAAGATACCACACTGTGACATCATGGCCTCAAGCTAGATGGATTAACAAAAAAAATTATTGTCCACCAAGATGGTCCACTAACACAGACGGGAACGTTGTTTTTTTTCTTTCTTTTTTTCCTTCCCTAAAACGGATTGGTGTTTTCAAAAACTCTCGTGTTCACACAGGACCGTTTTCAGAAATGTTTTCTTTCACACAGAAACACCCAAAATGGCTCAAAATTATTATTTTTTCTTTTTAACTCCCGCACACCTGTTAGTGGCACTAAACAAGAAGAATGGAACATGTGCCTAAAGCCTTCACACAAAATGACCAGTAGACTCAAAGAAAAAACAAAAAAAAAACAGATGGTGAACAAAAACTGAGTGGAGTCTTCTGGAGAACTTCTTGCAACTGCTGAAGGCATGTGACGCTAACTTGAACACCATTGTTGAATGTGACACATTTGCAGTTATAAGTCGCTTTATTTCTTTATTTTATTTGAGCAAAAATAAAGATAAAAATTTGACAAAAGAAAAACAAGCTGCTCAAAGGATCAGGATGAAGTAAAACTCATGTTCCTTCCTCTGAGAAATACAATTTGTGGAAAATACAGTAATTTAGGTTACATACGCGACATGCATGTAGCCTAATGTATGTATGTTGGAAGACTGCTTTTTTTTTTTTTTAACATATGCTGAATTTTACTTTTCTTTTAAATTGATCGTTTTTTTCTATACGCTTTAATTTTCTCCCTTTAAGTAAATCTACTCTACAACTTCAACTTGTAATGCACATTTGTTTGATTGTAATATGAACACATTGTTTTGTTTAGATTCAATATTCCTCTTAAGGCAGGTTGGGCTAATACGTCAGTGTTTCCAGAAACTAAGCATTTCTGCTGTCCAAAAATTCGGGATGGTTTTTTTTCTCTCAAAAATTTAACAGACATTTTGTTTAGGGATGTGCCGATTCACTTTTTTCAATTCCGATGCCAATATCTGAGGTTTAGTATCAGCTGATACCAATCCGATACAGAAGAATGGTGGTGAATTGACTTAAAACTTTTATTTTATTTTTTTATTTTTAAAGATAGATATTAATGTGTTGAATTACAAATTTATTTGCCAACTCTGCACCAGTATCTCACACTTAAATACATATTGTTACTGATACTAGACAGCGCTTTAAAATATTCCTACTTTATGGGGAGGCAAAAAAACAAACAAAAACAAAAAACATTCTTGTGTGGATGAGGCCTAAAACTTTGTCAGATAAGACAGAATAAGCAGGCGAGAATTTGCAGGTGAGAAAATGGACGCGGAGCCTAATTTGGTAACCGGATCGGAAGCAGCAGGACAGACTCACCTCCTGGTTGAGAAAGACTCTGTAGAGTTCAGCTGGTGAGGTGAGAAACGTGTCTCTGATGGTGAATTTACAGGTGGGGATTTTGACACCAGTGTTGATGGGAGCTGCCGTGCTACTGCCTGAGGAAACCTGAAAAAACACAGCACTCTAATCAGTCTAGCTCTACGTCGAGACTTGACACGAACGCCGGGTTTTATCCAGCCGTCTTTAAACACAGACCTGAGTTTTGTCCTGCTTGGCTTTGGACTGAGAAGCTGACTGAGGCTTGGCCACGCCGTTAGCGGTAGGCAGGATCATCCCTTGCGTGAATTCTGCAATTTTATAAACAATAGATTAATAATAATAAAACAACACAGTTTTTTATTTTTAATTATTGAAAGAGCCAAAGCATTGGTGTTTATTAAATCGCTAGTTTTAAGTTCTACTCGGGTCGGGAATGGTTTACCCTGATCTTTACAGACCTGTTTTCAAAAAGCCCACATAACTCCCCAGAGCCTCCCGGATTTTCTCTGCTCCTTTAGTTTTCATCAGGTGGACCAGGGGCGTGTCAGGCTCGTCCTTGTTCAGCGAGATGGAGATCTGAGGAAGCGGATCACAGGGACATGATTCAGTGCGTCGCTCCACCACCACCACGCAGTCAGGATCATTAAATCAACTATCTGACTTACATCCAGATCCTCCATGTCATTCTCATCAGACAAGTTTGGAACTTCGATTGAACCTTTGTATTTTACTCCGGTTTTTGACTTTCCTGTAAAAAAAAAAACAAACAAAAAAACCCCCCCCATCAAATTCAAGTCAGTTTTTGAGTGAAAAATTGACTTGAATTTTTTTGGATGTTTGTGGAACTGCTTCAAATGAAATGAACAAAAAAAACAACATGACTAATAATGTTGTGGATAACATTTTCCTTGTAAGAAGACAGGTGGTGAAACAACTTTTCTGATTAATCACAATTAACTATTTTAATCATGATAATCACAATTACTTGGATTAATCATGATTAATCACGATTACCTGAATTAATCATAATTAATTGATTACTGAAATAATCAAAAAATTACTTTAGTAAGTAATAACTTAAAAAAGTATACAAACTTAAAAAAGTTAATTTGCTTAAAAAAAGAGCAGTGATTACTCCAAAACTGTACAAAATATACGTTTTTGCATATAAAATGTGCCTTTTTAAAAAATCAGGTTATTCAAATAATCATCAGAATAATCGATTACTAAAATAATTGTAAGATGTCGATTTTTATAGTAAACTCCTCCACTCCCTAAAGAAAAGTCTAATTCTGCATCTGAACTATTTGCTAAGGGGAAAAGCTAACTTTTAACTATTCTTGAGCTGTTGGTCAGGGCCACACAAAATGAGTCCAAAGCGCTGCCATCACTACAGACACTGCCACCTACTGGTCAGCCAGTGTAAGTCTAAAAAATGTTCTTCAATCTTTGTAAATCACAGAGTTCGTTCATGAGTTGGTCATTTTGTAAAGTTTCTGTTAAAATACAGTTTCACATGTGATTACAGGGGAAAAGAAAGGAGTCTTGAAAAAGAGCTGAATGAAAATTATTAAACATGTGACCACTAGGGATGGGTAGAAAATAAAATCTACTTTGTGATGCATCAAGAGGCAAAACTTTTAATTTTTTAAAAATACATGCAACATAAAAAGCTCTTCTTATTCCTTAAGGAGACTGAAATGTTTTATTTTTATTTTCGACAGAATAGCAAAGGACAAAGGATGATTCATGTCACTTTAAGTCGACAAACGGCGAAGCTGCGTGTCATTCTCAGTTCAAACCCTGCTTTCCACTCACCAGTCCAGGTCGCTTTTAGGTTCCATTCATAGAAGAAAATAAGTTTCCCTTTGCGGTTGTTAATCGAGGCCTCTCCTTCCAACTTGCTGACTTCCGTCACTTCACACGCTCCCTCGTCATCCTCCACGCTCAGCCCGAGCAACAGAGACTTCAGCTTATCTGAAGACCAGTTTGTTGCATCTCTTTCAGTCCTGAAGATTTTAAAAAAAAAAAGAGACACCATGTTGAGCAGACTGACAATCTGTAATGATTAGAGGGTTAAAATCTTTTCTCTTGACCTCTGAACATTTTCGCACCCGAGAACTTGGAATTCACATCAGTTTGACTGCCGTTGATAGCAGAAATATATTTCACAGTAACAAATATGATCTTTTACCTGAATAAATTGACTATTACGAGTCTATTAGCTGATATTTATTTTAGCTGCAAAAGGGGAGATCATTCTAAGATCACCTGTTGAACATTTTAGGGCAATATATTAAACAATTTTATGAGATTTTGGAGTCACAGCTTGTCACAATTTAGTGTAGATTGGGGCAAAGGAAATTAAAAATGTAACTTTTAAATTTAAAACTACAAGCGTGATCTTGGCATCATGTAAAATTCATTTTATGATTTGTTTTAGATAAAATAGTTTGTACTTCAGAAATTTTTGCTAACACAAAATTTGTGAGCTACTGACTAGGAAAATCTAAGAGCATTAATTGATGTATTGATTTTCAAATGCAATAAAACTGAACTGGTTCATAAAAACAACAATGTGGTTCTCCACAGAGATAAATCACTGCAAGGGATTTCACTAACAGATGAAAGGTAATTATCTATTCGAAGATCAAAAGTGAGGGTAAGCTGTGGGATACATCAGATTTTTCTTCGAAATAATAAAAGGGGGGTAAAAAAAAGTCATATTTTCCACAAACTGTGGAGAATTTATGGTCACATTGCAGTCTGGAGTTACATTATGGGCATAACCAAAATGGTCAAACTGGCTCCGTAGCTACATAGCATACTGAATGTAACTGAAACAGACACAGCTTTAGCTTTGCTGAACAGCTAATGGAAAGCCTCGGTAGCTACATGTGACGCTAACTTGAACAACATTAGCAAAAGCTTTACTGCTAACTAGAACGTTTTGCTTTAGTTAATTACGGGACTAACAATCTATCCTGACTATAAGAATGTGATACAATTGCGGTTTGGGAGGAAAAACCACCTCGAAGCGTGCGGTTAGCATCAGCTTAAAGCTAACTGGCAGTAAGTACCCTTTCATGTTGTCTCACCAGTGCCAATTGTTGACATTCGTCGCATCGGCTCTCTCCTCAACGATCCAGCGAGGGTCTCCTTCTCCCCACTTCGCCATGTGTACAGATAAATAATAATTATAATAGAATTTTGAAAGCGTGGCGAAGCCTTAAACAGGAGGTCTCGCTGTCTGTCAGTCAGCCGGTGAATGTCCGCTGCACGCTGCTGCTTCTAGAAACCTCTGGCGGTGCTCCTGCGTTTATTCTCCGAACATAGAAAATGCTCGAAACGGAACTTTGTAGAAAGAGGTAAAAAATGTTCCCCTCCTTCCTCTACACACACACTACCGGAAGTTGTGTTTATGAGCGGTAATTTTGCTTCGGGAATGTAAGACTTTGGATATTAGCACTCTGGTTTCTTATATCCAGTTTTATACTTTTTCTGTATGTGGGGGGTGGGGGGAAGTGGGAGCGAGATTAATTTTCTGTTAGGACGTGATTTTAATTGCCAGAAGCTACCCATGAATGTTTCTTGAGTAGCTTCCTCCTTACTGGAAGCTGATTTATAAACATTATTCATTCTTTCTAATAGAAAATCTGTTTTCATAAGGTGTCTGCCTGTTCACACGTCATGAATGACAGAGAGCATTTTAACTCATAAAAACTTATGTTAAAAATGTGATATTATATATTTTCCAGGCAAATGGTACCGTTTTAGTCCACAATCAAGTAACTATGTCACCTTTACTTGCCTATAAAAATGCAGTATATGTTGAGCATAACTTAAAATAAATTGGACTTTGCATTTTAACACCTTGAAATTGACCCCTGTCTCTTTAAGCAGCTCCGGCTCTTTCTGACACTCTGCCGTCAGCAGGTCATCACAACAATCTTCCTCCATTATGTCATTTACAACCCTCTCTTAGGAGCGTTGCTCTGAGAAGTAGTTCTATGAGGAGCTCAGTTCCACCAGGTGTTTGCTGAGCGCTGCTGCTGCCGCTAGTCTATAGGAGCGCTCTGAGAAGCAGAAGACCGGCTGTGGACTCAGGTGCGGAGTCCCCGCCCACGCTCTGAGATCTGAGATTGACATAACAGCACTAGGTCACTCCTAGTGTTTTTATTTATTTATTTATTTTTTAATTAGTCAAGAAAGGTCAAATATTGTTGCTATTCCAATAAAGCAGCACAGGCTGAAATGGAGAGTTGGGCATCAGAAAAGCAGAGTGATGTTTGATCTGCTTGTAGGGTTGAATTAACATATTGCAAACAAATTGTTATTTCATGATGCTGTGTTTTGACTTGTTAGAGATACACATCTGCATGTTTAATCGTTCAAAGATCCTTCTTTGAAGTTTGTTCTATACCTCAAAGTGTTCAGCACAATGTAAATAGTGAATAACTATATTGATTTGTATAATTTTTGTATTTAAGTATTTCTTGCAAAACTGTATTTTTAAGGGTTTATTTTAATAAAGACAATGAGCTGAACCTAGACTATTTGTAACAGATGTTTTTTGTTGTTTTTTTTAAACCCGCAGTATTATGTGAAATTGACTTTTTGAGCTTTACATCATGTTATAATGATATTTCCTCTTCAAAAAAAATAACTGGAGTGTTGCCTTGAATCTCCATTCAGCTGGTTGAACCTGGCAACACCTTCGTGGTGCAGCTCGGAGCTGCAGTTTCCAAGCCTCCGCCTTACAGAGCAGCCATCCCCTGCACATCATTCAGCTCCTTCAGACTAGCCAGCGGCAATTAGCAAACACCTCCTACTAGCTACTTCTCACTGGTAAAAACGTTGTTAAAGGGCTAAAAGAGGAGAGATGTAGTGATGACTTCCTGAAGGCGGAGCTTCAGAAAGAACAGGAATTATTAAAGAAACAGATCCAATTTCAAGGCAGTAAGCGACAAGCCAAATTTCTTTGAAGTCATATTTTATAGATTTGTTGTACTTTTCTTTCAATTGAGTTTGATGAGGTGAACAGTGCTCCATGCGACCAAAGTGGTGAACTGCTTCTGAAAGCAATTGAATAAACTGGAATCATTTAGTGGTATCAGAATATAGGGGTATGAAAATAAATGCATACCCATGTTTCATGTTTTCAATGATTACAAAAGGGATAATCTAGTGCTTTTCTTTTTCATTTAAAAATTACTTACTATTTTGTACTCATAGTTATGATGGAATGTAGAAAACATCGGGGGTGTGAATACGTTTACCGGGAAGAATATTTTGTAACTTATCACTACATGATATATGTACGGTTCTTCACTAATGTTTTCTAAATGTTAAGTGGTTACAATCGCAGTGGAAACTGATTCAAATGAGCAAAGACAACTAAAATGATTCAATACATGGCTTTAAACACTACACTACACTACACAAAACAAAAAAATAACAGTCGGCTTTCGATTGTTTGTTAAAAGCGTCAGTCGAGGAGAAAAGCAGGGAGAAATCATTAGAGAGGAATCCCAGGCATATGGCTGGCTTTTGTCGGCTCCCCTCCCCCTCCTTTCTCTCCCTCCTGCCGTCCGCTCCGCAGCAGCAGCAGCAGCAGGACGGAGGTACTTCAGTTTTTGAAGCCGTGGCATGAATGATCTCATCTGAACCTGATCTCCGCTTTCTCTGCCGTCGATCCTATGACCGAGACGGGAATAAAATAACACAAACACGAGGTGAGTACGGCTACCCAACCACCGGCAGCGGTGTTTTTAAGCAGGCACTGGGGTGAACGGCTGTTATTTTTTAGGAACTTTACAGCCCAGTCGCGGCGAAAACTCTTGTTTTCGGCCAGAAAGGAGGAAGGACCGAGGAGGATGGGTGGGTGGGCGCTTTTAGCTCATTAGCTTTCCGCTTCCTAGCGTTGTGCTTTGGAGCGTTTATTTGCGAAATGAAACTAGGCGTAAGCCAAGAATTTCACAACTCCGTGTAGATAACTTGTTTACAATGTGAGCGAACAGTTAGCTTGGAAGCACTCCGTGAGCCCGGTTCAGAACCGTAGGCTAGCTAGCCGGCTGTTAGCTCCCAGCGCAAAATGGCCTCATTGTCGCTCGGTGGCTCTGATGCTGGAAAGACAAAGCATGCGGCAGTCACGGCCAGCAGCTCTCAAATGTTCTTATATTAACCTCTACTGGCTTTTATTCGGTTATTCGTTAAGAAAACAACAACGACAACAGGGAAATGAGAAAGCACTTTAGCTGCCGTATTCAAAATCTCGTTTATTCAAGCGATACAGCGGTATACGAAAGTGCTGGTTTTTCAGAGTGAGGTGGGGGATGGGCCGGGCGAGGAGCCATTGACGTAAAGCGAGGCTGTATTTTGTTTGGCCCCAAAGCAGTAGACGACAAACACTTTAGTGTTTACATTCTAAGCCGTATAATGCTGTTGGTAACAAATCCAAGCATCAGTGACCTGCTATTATCAAAATCAAGCGCTATATGTGTTGTTCAAAGAAGTTCCGGATACAGCGAGAGTGCGATACAAGTCTCCATTTTAGGGTTAAACAGTTAAAATCTTTCGTGAAGTAACCTCAGTTGTATATAAATCACTTGTATGAAGATGGTACTAAAATAAATGTTAATGAAATTGTCATGTTAATTATCTTGATCTCAGCCACCCAAATTAGGCATTTGAAGTGGAGCCTATTCAATGTAACAGAGGTAGAGATTAAAAAAACTAATATGTGCAATTGCTGTGTGGTTTTTCTTTGTCCGTGAAATATATTTAACATAATAAGTTTGTCTGGAAGTGTCTTTACCAGTCTTGCTTTCAGTATCCTCAATGGTAGAATCCTCTTAATGAACTGCAAATTTAAATACCATAAAAGAGTTTGGACACCATAAATGTTGCTGCCAAGACACCAGAGTCCAAACGTTTTTCATTTGAGCCAAAATAATCAACTAAATGTTTTAAAAAACAAAATGATTTGCTAAAATTAGCAATCAGTATTTAATTAAAATTAAAGTAGCCCTGAATGGGAGGTGTAAATCATTATAGCTCCAGAACTTAAAGGGTTTTTCTAGTTTAATGTAATGAAGGCTCTGAGATTTAAGTATTTTGTTTTTGATCGAAATAAAATACTGTAAAATGTAGTCCATTCTGAGTTGTACTAAAAGTGGTACAAACTTAGTTAATTTGTTTAACTAAGTCTAACAAATTAGTTAAAACTGCTTTGAGTGTACCAAAGTCCGATTTGAATAAAGGTTATAATTTCAATTAAAAAAACAATTAAAAAACAAATACCCTATGTTCAGTTTAATATTTTACATTGAAAAAACATTTTAATTTCTCTAACAATTTAGCTCTAATTAAAAATAGAGAAAATCGGCATTAAAACACCTGTGTTGGCTGGTCAAATTTTTTATCATTTTTGGTTTGCAGTCGGGGGTGCAGAAAACAAAATTGAATGAGTATTTTATATTTTTTCTGAATTTGTTGTATTAGAACATACATATAGCCTTAAATAAGGCTATATGTATGTCTTCTACCATGTCATCTTGTGATATTCAAATGCAGTCTAGCGCAAAGTGCAATCTAGTTGCTGTCTTAATCAAAGCTATTATCAGAACCCCCCAGTTTCAAAGTCGGTGCCTTAAACTTCACCCCCTGAGAGTTGGGACTCTTATTTTGAAGTAAGACAGGAAGTAGCTCTGATTATGGTAGTTGTGTGAAAGACATGAATAATAAAGACATCATCCATCTTGCTGACATCACACTCTTACTGACTATGCATGAGTAAAGACTCCAAAAGTACTGTGCCTAGCTAACAGTTAGCCTGTGCTAGCACTAAGTTAGCATCTGTTTCAATTTGCTTTTGTTGCTAAACTAAACTTTTTGATATTAAGAATCTAGACTTTTTTAAACGGGTTCCTTTACAACACAATGTAATATTTATGGAACCTTTATGAAAAGCGAGAGCAATTTTTATTGAGTTGCTTTGGCATTAGGACCATTTTAGAATTATACAGATAAAAATCCAAAATATATCAAAAAGTCAAATTTAGTTAGTTGGAGGGATTTAATTGTTGTCAGTTACCCAGGTAGTGTCAGCAATAGGAACTGATAGCTGAGAGAGTTTTAACAGTAATACATGTGGGGCTGATTTAATGTGGTACAAACCACCGGAAGTGCATTTTAAGAGTCGTGGCAACTTTAGCAACGTGACTTCCTGGCTGTCTTTGATTTCTGTTTTATTTCTCACACACATTGTTGCCATATTTTGCTAACACATCTATGATTATTTTCTCACTGTTTGTGTTTTAGCTCTCTGGTTATCTTTTTAAATGACTTTTATCCTAATCTTGTCTATTGCCAGGAAATATCATTTTAGGCAAGGAAGGACTCAAAAGGCTTTTCTGTGTATGTTGGAGCCATTGATGTAAATAGATTATAACTAGAGATGCACCAATCACAGAGCTGTGGCTGAATTCTGATTGTTTTTTTTTAAAGCTTTGTGTAGTTCTCTTTAAGAGCTGTACCTTCTTGCCATGTGCCAGCATTAATTATTTATATCGGCAGCAGCAGTGACATCCCACTGTGTGTGTGTGAGAGAGTGAGAGAGATTTTGAGTTAATACTTCAGGCATACTTTAGCATCTTATGTTCGTTGCCATATTGTGGTTGGCATTACTAAATGTAAAACGCAGGTGACAGACAAAAAATAATTGTTTCTGAATCCTTTTACATCTTTACTCCTTATTTAGTTTTTGAGTGCTTCACTAATATTGAGAATAACTAATATTGGCATTCTTTTCCCAGAGTAAGTGTGTCCACTCTACAGTCCGGTAGACTTAGTTTTATTGGGAACCGAAACTGCAGCATTTGTTACATTTTCAGCTGCTGCTGTTCACTGCGTCAAACGAATCAAATCTTTGAAAAATCTGTTCACCTCCTCACCTGTGGTGGCGCTGCACCACGAACCATTGAAGGAAACAAATATGAAAACCTCTAAAGAAGACAAGGAGCGCAACTTCCTTCTTCGTGAAATGTAAACAAAAATGTAAGCCCTTTCTTCTGTTTGTTTCCGTTGTATTTACCCAGAAAGCCCTGTGCTATAGCACGTGTGGAGTGTTCTCCGGTCTGCTTGGCGTTCACATATGCATTCAAACCGCACCAGACTTCACTTCAACCAAACCGAGACCTAAGCTTTTAGGCGGACCAAAGTTAGCATTTTTTTGGTCTGCATCAGAGGTCGATCACTCATTCACACCTCCCCAAACAAACCAGGCTTTCTAGGCTCACGGACTGGAGTTTGATTAAAGTGGACTAAACGGGGCTGGTTGTTAGTGCAAACTGGTTGTGCTTAGGTATGTTGAGGACACTGATTTGGAGGGGGGAAAAAAGATTTTTTGAGTTTTTGACTGGAAAATAACCTATTGACTACAGAAAAGCTAAAAAAAAAGTGCTATAGTCACCAGCTGATTTTTGGGTGCATCTCTAATTATAACTTGAAATATTGCTGATTTGGCTCACTCACCTGATCAGTGTAACACAGTGATATTGTTTTTCATACTGTGTGTATCCATTTTATTGGTGTAATTAGAGTGAAAGTTTGTGGTTTGTGAGAAGAAATTAGGCTCTAATTCCATATTTTCTTGTATATTGTTTTAATTTGAGGTGTTTGCTTAATAGCAGAATCGTGGCATCCTATAATTTACATTTAAAGGAAGAAAGAGCGTGCCGCCTGGCACAGAGTTGTGACTGTTACCATGAGAGTGTTTGTAGAGCGTTTTAGTTTCACTTTGCTTTCCAAAGAAAGTTCATCTGCTGTTCTTTTTCTATAACATGCGATTTTACTCAGAAATATGTTACTTTTTTTTTTAATTAAATGACCATAAAAAAACATCAAGAATGGAACATTAGCACAAGTGGCTTCATTGACCTAAATGCCCTACCCACAGGTTTTTACAGAGGAGACGCGGCTGGACACTGTTTTTCAGTCTGGAAAACTAAAATGCAGCTCAGCGCTCAGCCTTCTGTTTGATTCCATCATGTCAGATGGCTTTTTTTTTTTTTTAAATTATTATTGGACAGTGTTGATTTCCTCTTGTAAAGAAATGTTGAAGTGGTATTTCAACAAGGAAGTTGACTTTTTTCTTTCTCTCTCTCTCTTTCTCTCCCTCTATCTCTCTCTCCCTTTCCACCCCCTCCTCAGTGAAGAGAAAGTGAAAATCTTGTTCTACTAGTTTTAAAGTCTTTGCGTGTGTAGGCCTGGAAATCTGATTCCCTTGTAAATATCACTGAGTCACAGTGGTGTGTTATACAATAAATTACAAATGTCTTTATTTTTCATGTTCTGTCATTTTACTGATTTGATGCACCGTATTGATCAGCAGATATATACTTTTTTTTTTCTTGATCACAGGTTGCCATGTGAACCAGTATCATTTCACTGATACTTGTAACCTGAGTGCTGTTTGTGTTTACTGACAAAGCTCTCTGTAGTCTGTGCTTATTTTGATGCAGCGTCCGCATTTAGTCGGTAACCATGCTATTTTCGGTGGCTCAGCGGTCTGTTAAAAGTGTGGTTGTTCCGCCCAGCAGGAGTCTTGCTTCAGACTGGCCTAAAATGGGCAGAAATGGTGCTGAACAAAAGCTGCTTGTCGCACGTACAAAAGTACTTGAAGCGCTGCAGCTGGGACCGAGCTGCATTGCTATTGCCTGTGCCTCTCAACAGGAAAGGTATAGCAAACTTTTAAGGAAATCCCAAACCCAACCATTTACTTATCACTGTAGTTCAGAGTTGCAGCTTCTTTTTTTTTTTTTTTTGCTGGTTATTTGTAATGTCACAACTGCTTTAAGCAGATTTCTTCCTGTCCACACAGATATTACTACACCACTCTAACCTCATTACATTTGTCACTAATTTGAGTAATTACATGACACTTGCAGTACCTCATGAAAGTAATCACACCCCTTGAATTTTACAGGTTTTTCCCGTTTTAAAGTGTTTTATTGGGATTTAATGTGAAAGAGCAAGGCAAAGTAGGGCAAAATTGTAAAGTAGGATGAAAATAATAGTGTTTTCCAAATGAAAATCTACTCCAGTTTCAAGATTTATGCAGTCTTAAAGGATTGGTGTTATGTAAAATTGACAGTCTTTGGGCTTTACATCATGTTTTATTATTATTCCCTCATCAAAACATACCTAGTATGTTGCTTTGATTCTTTCATGTGTGTTTGAGGAATTCTTGAATCTCCCACGGCAACCGTTTGGGGAGCCTGAATACAAAGCTCCACCTTTTTACCCATAGCTCTAGAGTTTGGTAGATGAACTACTTCTCTCCCTAAGAACGGCTGTAAGCAGCATAATGGAGAAGCCATGTTGTGATGACTTCCTGAAGTGTCAGAAAGAACAGGAGCTTCTTAAAGGGACAGAGGCCCAATTTCAAGGCATCAAGATACGAAGTCATATTTCTTTTAAGTCAAGTTTATATATATATATATATATAATTTTCATAACAGTTGAAAGTAACATTTGGGATGTGCTGGAAAAAAGCCACTATGCGTCACTATATGCCTGAAAAATGCATAACACCGCCCCTTTAACAGGGTTTTCTTTCTGACCAGTCTCCCCTGCGCTAAAGAAAATCGTCCCCTCTTCATTACTCTGTCACCACTATGTTTCACAGCAGAAGCAATGTGTTCAGGGTGGGATGTAGTGTTAGATTTTCAACTTTTATCACAACTATTGCAAGAATGTGTGATGTTTTCCCCCCCCCCACAATTATTGCTACAAGCTGTCAAACACAAAAAGTGACTCCATTATCAAAATGGACACTTCAGTTCACCAGTGACATTTAGTAGAACAGTTGTACTATAATGACGTCCTTTAATGTTCTCATGGAACCTGAAGTAGTTAAAATAGCTTAACTTATATTAAGATTGATAATATAATATAAGGTAATCTTGGAGGAAAGTCTAATGCGAAAAGTTTGAGACTGGACAACTGTAAACATAGCGAGTTACAGTGTAATGGATTGAAGTATATACATGATTTAGAATGGCCTAGTCAAAGTCCACACCAAAATTTAAAGAAAAAAATGTTTGAAAATTTGAGTTAAAATTTGCTCATGAATCAGTCTGACGGAGGTGAGACTACTTTGTGAAGAAGGAATGACGAGAACTTTGATCTCTAGATCAGGGATGTGATGATATCCAGTCTGTGCCGATATCAGTATCCGATATCAATACTGCCGTTAGACCCGATAACTGATATTTACACTTTAGATTTAGACTTCACTACCATTTTGACACCTTGAAAAAAAAAAACAACCACAGTGCTGACTTCACCACTTACTCCCCACAATCCTTTGCTGCATCACTATCGCTTTCACACGACCAAGCAAATGCGACATCACCAACCTCCATCACCCCTCCAGACACAGACGGCAACAAATGGAATTAAATATCGGTCGTTAATATCGGCCCAGATTTATTTATTGGTCCAATACAAATATTTTAAATGGTTAATATCGGCAGATAGAGTTAGAGATACCGTAGAATAAATTAGCATGAACCTCAGATACGATGAATCTGGGGTTGATGTCGTGCATCCCTCGTCTAGATGTTCAAAGTTGTTTGAGACGAACCACAAAAGAATTGCAGCTATATTTGGAGGGAAAGTATTGACTGGTGGTGCTGAATACAAATGCATAGTTTTTAAACTTTTCTGCATTGTTTTCAGTTCAGTTCCATTCTGCTCCCAGTAAATCCCACTAAAACTCTGAAGTTTATGACAGTAACATGATAAAGTGTGAAAAAGTCAAGAGGTGTGACTATTTTTTTTTCAAAGCACAGTTTTCTCCTCACTTATATTAGCTAGTGCAACTCTGAAACACTTTGTGGTTGTGAATTTGTCCCTAATGAGTTCCTGTCAGTAGTTCTCACTCTGCGTTTTCTTCCCTCCCTTCCCGCAGCAGTGAGACATCATGTTCCCGAAGGGCACCAAGCGCAAGTTCTCCGACTCAGGAGAGGAGGCGGTGTGTGGTGGCGGCGGTGGCGGTGATCAGGGCCCCTCAGCCGCCCCAGCCCCGTCCCCCGCCGCAGCCAGGACACTGTCGTCATCCTACAGCCTGCAGCGGCAGTCGCTGCTTGACATGTCACTGATCAAGCTGCAGCTCTGCCACATGCTTGTGGAGCCCAACCTGTGCCGCTCGGTGCTCATCGCCAACACAGTACGGCAGATCCAGGAGGAGATGACCCAGGACGGCACCTGGCAGATCATGACCCAGGCCCTGGCGGCCGCTCAGTGCCCCGCCGACCGCCTGGTGGCCACCGAGGTGCTGTGCAGACAGACTGAGGCGGCGGCGGCGGCGGCACAGGCCGGCCAGAGCCCCAAACCCTTCTCCGTGTCCGGGCTGGAGGAGGGCTACCACTCGGAGGAGGTGGTGATGGACGGGGACGCCGAGGCGGAGGTTGCCATGTCGTCCCTGTCGCCCGTCTCACCTCAGCTGTCCTCGGCATCCTACCTGGCGGGGCCATTCGGGATGGGGCCCTGCTGGGAGGACGACGAGGAGGACGCCGACTGCGACGAGGACGAGGAGGAGGACAGCGAGGAGTGCGCGTCGGAAGGCGAGGACGCCGAGCGGCACCACCTGAGAGCGGACTCCAGGACAGGGGAGCAGGTCTTCGGGACTTTTGAGATCAAGCACCCGGCGCCGCCCCCCGACCCGGCACTGGAGGAGCTGTTCTCTGACGTGGACCCGTCCTACTACGACCTGGACACGGTGCTTACGGGCATGCAGAGCACCCCCAAAATGGGGCCTTACGACCTGCTGGAGAGCCTGTCCTCTCACGGGCCGACGGCGCTGAGCTCCAGCGCCACCTGCAGGTCCGACCTCAACGAACTGGACCACATCATGGAGATCATCGTGGGCTCCTGAAAGCAATCCCAGACTATGCACAGCACAACGTGCGTGTTGGTGGTGATGTTACAGATCCTTCCAGGTTTTGGGAACAAGGTGGGGAGCGAGGGGGTGGGGGGTAATCATGGAGATGGTCCGCTTTCAGACTGTAGAGGTGTGAATGACTTTTGGGTTTTTACATGACCAGGGCGCAAAGTTAGCGTCCCGCTTTGTCAAACCCTCCCGCGGTCTTAAGAAACTGGGTCATTTGGATGCCACAAGCTTTTTTTACATTGTCACGCGTGGGGGTCACACTGACCCCTGTGCGCTTTTGAGAGTTTTTTTTTTTTTTTTAAATCTTTTTTCCCTTTCCCTTCCCCTCTCTCCAACCGCCAACATCCTCTTGTGCATCGTGCTAAGACCGCGGGAGGGTTAAGAAATGTCCAAAACCTGCGACTGTCTGTGAGAAGGCAAAGATAATTACCTACACCGCGATGCATTCTGACGTCCTGTCGTTTCCGTCTCGTTCTAGCTCCTTCTGGTCCGACTCTTGCCTTTTTTTACGTCCAGCTCTATTTATTGTTACATGGACCAAGGAACAACTCGCCACACTACATGCACCGAAACAGAACAAATTGTAAATCCAAATCTATGAATCAATGCATATTTTCCTAGAGATTTGAGCAGTTATGAATGGATTATATGTAAATGTACGTATGTGTATATAGAAATATATTTTTTTGCATTATACGGCTTGCTGGGATTGGTCAGGGGGTGGGTGTGGGAGGGGGGATTTTGCGAGCATCATTTGATATCCTTATTTTCTGTCCCAAGCGGTTTTTAAAGGTTTTAATGTAGCCGGACTGGAGACGGTGTCTTCCCGTGGACTGTCGACACGCCGCTCTTTCATTTCTGCTGAAGCTTCACCACAGAGCAGGAACTCACTTCCAGCCACCAAACCAGACGTGGCTCAGGAGTTTTTTTTTTTTTTTTTCTTTTCAGTTTACAGTATCCAAGTGACAAATGAAGTAGTTTGGCTGCTGCGCTTTTAATACAGACCCAATAATGGTAAGAAGCAGCTTTTTTTTCCTCTCTCTCTCTTTTTCCTAAAGCATCTGGGGGAAAACTGCATCAAGAAGCCATATTTTCTTTTTCTTTTTTTTCCTCATTTGTTGCTACAAATGAGGAATCCTCTGTGTTAACCCATCTAATTTATTGTTTATTTATTGTATTTATTTTATCTAGGTACAGACATGCCACATTGACGTATCAATTCAACCACCAGGCCTGGTGAAATTGTATTTATCGAGGAAAAAAATTTATTTTCCCGGTTTTAAATGCAGTACCTATTTATTCCTAATTTTTATGACTATTGGTAAAAAAACAAAAAAAAAACAATAATAACCGGGTTAATAATAAAGTTACTATGCAGCTCTGTCATATGTTTCATAATGACCATATAACTACTCAAATGTCCTTAAATTCCATTATGCAAACAGTTCTTTCTCTAAATCTGTAGAAAAACAAAAACCGTTTTTTCTTTTTTCTTTTTTTTTTTCTTCCCAAATTGCTTCTTATGGTGAATAAAACATGAACTCAGGCAAATGAAATGTATTGATTAAAATACAGTATTACAACACGCTGAATACCTTACCACAACACTCCTGAAGGATGTCACTCTAGTCTGAATAGGAGCTAGAACTTCAAAGACGTAATTATCTTTGTAAAATGTATGCATTTTTATATCAAAAAAACATTGTAGCATCTTTGTACATATTTTTTATAATAAAAGGTGCAACTATTAAAGTGCGTTGTTTGCTTCCTGACTTTTTCCTTTGCAGCTCTGCAGCAGATGCTTGTATCAGATGTTAAAGTCCCACTGAAATGCTTGAAGTGTGGAAAATGGTTCAACGGCATGTTAAGGCCATTGAGGAGCAAATTTCCACTGAAAAACACATCAAATTTTTTAAATCAGTCTCAGAAATTTTCTAGAAAAAACACTGAAATTTCTGAGTTTGAAAAGTTGGAAATCCACTAGGGGAAAAAAGAAACCCTCAAATTTTGAGATTAATCTCAGAAATTCTTTACAAAAAAAACTTCTGAAATTTGAGGGTTTACATTTTGAGATTTTCTGAGGTTTAAAATGAAATGTGAACATTTTCAACTTTTGAAACTCAGAAACTTGTCCTTTGTCCTCAGTGTTTTTAGTGTTATAAACCAATCCTGCTGTAAATGTCTAAAGAACTTCTCCCTAGTAAAAATCCATTTGTTGGACTGGATTTTATTTAGAGTTAGCAGAGTAAAAGCAGCACGGCACATATGATCACCTTCCTATAATAACTGCCTAAATCATAATTTTGTGTTTTTTTCCCCAAAAAATTATTTTGGCCAAAAAGAAAAAAAAAATCACCACCTGTTTTTCTCCAATATTTTAGGAAGGTGATGATATTCAAATTTTATCCATTAAAAACATAAAACTTCAATTCTATACAGCTTTACAGATCCGTTCAATAAACTAGAATATTATTGGAAAATCCAATATTTTCAGGAACTTTATCACTGAGTGAAACACATAAATTATACACAGATGGATGTTTGAAAGAATGTATTTTGGTGTATTATGATTATTTTCCACTTCTGGCTAAAGAAAACACAACTTTTAAAATAAAAATATCACATCAGACCATTAATAAAAAATGAAAAATGTTTTCAGAAAGGTATCATCTGCCTCATCAGAATGCATATTCGACTTATGAATTTGAGGTTTTGATGTTGCAAAATGTAGAAAAAAGATCAAGTGTGAATACTTTCTCCAAGCCACTGAATGTGTAACATCTCAAGTAGGACAATTACAGAACTTGCTATTCAAGAAATCACACACAAATGATTTGATTGCAGCCACTTAAAGTGAAGCTGATCCTGAACGTTGCTCCAAGCTCTGAGTGTTTTCCTGAAGTCAGGATGAGTTGGAGCAGAAAGCTCCAGACCTTTGCCCTCACGTGCCGTCACATGATGTCGAACTATGACATGCTGCACGAGATATGCAGAGGATCAACAGAGCAGACGGCTGACCTGCTCGCTCACCGCACCACACGTTCACGGTACAGGTGAGCCCGAGACCGCAACGTTTCTTAAAGACATCAGAAAGGAAGTTACATCGGCATCCCTCGGCACTGAAAAAGTACATTTATTCATGAAATTACATGTGGCTTTGTTCGCTTCGATTTGCCTTTTGGGTGCAAAAACAGATAAAAGGCCTCTTGATGAGTCAGCAAAAAAAGAAGGAAAAACCCCCAATCAGAACAGAACAAAGCGCGGGGATATCTGGAAGCATTTGGTCTTATCCCTAAAATTACACAAGGTATGCAGTCACATCCAGTTGTGCTCAAAATAACAGAATAAATAAGCATAAAACATCTTTACAGCGGTCAGTTCCACACACACGTTGGGAGCAGAGCTTGAAAAACAAAGAAATTTGATCCCACGCCTCAGAAAGTGGAGGAACGGGATTAACAGGCTCTTCAGTAAATGGCTGTGTCTGCATTCTTTAAAGAAAAAAATTGCTCCTTTTTAAAAAAAAAAAAAAAAAAAAAAAACTTGTCTAAAAAGACGAGTTTGAAAGTTGGGCTTTTGTGTGTTCATGAGGAGGAGCCACTCCTCACAGCAGGGCAGAGGTTTTCCAGCTCAGAGTGCTGTGATTCAGTTCCACAGCTTCGATGTGAAAGCAAACCGCAACAAATGAAAAAAAAAAAACAAAAAACAAAAAAAAAAACAAAGTCTGCTTCTGGCTCGGCCCTAAGAAGGGAACTGAAAACAGCCTTAGATGTTACACACCAAGATTTGTGTAACCAAATACCAAACAGTCGATCTTGCACCAAGATGCGATTAATAACTCCTCACAGACAGCTAACAAATTTCCTAATCAGGAATGTTGAAACAAAGGGCTACTTATAAAAACACTCATTAAGTAAAGCTTGGTTCTTTCTCATATGAAGAGCAAAAATAAAATACTTTTAATAAATGTTAAATCACAATCTTTTACACATTTTTCAAAGGTGGGGAATTTTTGAAGTTATCCTGCTTGTAGCTCGGTTTCATAAATTCGACATGTTATTATTGCAGTAGTCGCTAACTATAAACCTGCTCTGATCACCCAGGACTTGATAACCGATTCAGTGTGTGGCTCTCCTTCCATCAATTAGAGCATTTTACATTTTCTCCCAAATCTTTTAGGTCTTTGCTGCCATTTTGAATCGTTTGAGGTCATTTTCTGCTCTCATTTTGTTTCCTTTGTCTGCAATAACATTAAAAAAATTTACATCACTGATTGAATCCTCGTTATCATTCTGTACTGTTTTGGTCCGGCGTCAGGAAAACGGCAGCTAACATCTCTGCAGACCCCACATATTCTGGACACATGCTGTTTATATACCCTTACCTTTCAGGTCGGTGCAGTTTGCTGAAACCAGCTACCACAGAAACCGTCTCTTCCCCCAGGCCGTCTCTGAACACAATGAACACCTCACAGCCCGAGCAGTCAGCTACTCCACTGGCAAACAAAATAAGCACATTTGCAAAATCACAACAGTGACCTTACTTTTACTTGAGAAATGTTATGATGAAGTATCTCTACTCTTACTTGAGCCAAATTTCTGGATTCTCTAAACCTTGAATGAAAAACAAACATGTTTTAACCAACACAGATACACACCTCCAGTTTTTGTTAAAGTTTCATAAGTTTTATATTTGAAGAAACTGATTTGGAAAAACAAATGATTGTGCCTGATTTTGTTATTTTGTATTACTTATATGAATGATTGTACTTTTGATCCTTAGAATATCAAACTTTTCACTTAACTTTATATTTTGATGTAATTTTTAAATATTAAATGATTGATAATTGGATCAGTTACTCATTACTTGAGTAGACTTTTGACCAAATGCCTTTTCACTCTTACTTCAGTCAAAATATGTTAAAGTAGTGTTACTTTAACTTTAGTAATTTTTTTGCGTACTCTGCCCACCTCTGGTCACACATTTGGGTAAAATGTATAAATTTGAATAAGCAAAGATTGAAAAGTATTTATTTTTATTTTTATTTTATTTTTGCAACAAAGTCCAACTAGTATTTAATGACTTTAATGACCCTGACAGAAATAAAAGTGAGATATGTTTGTGTTGTTTTTAAGCTTTCATTTCAGTCATACTATTAAGGCCAAAAGACCAGAGCTGCTGTGATATTCTGGCTTTCAAATGTCTGTATTTCCTTACAAAAGTACAATAGGCAACAGCTTATATTCAAGAGATAGATCAGAGAACCTAGCGTGGAGGGAACAGCAGAGGTGAAAATGTGATGAACCAGAATTGCCTTATTTGGTGAGTGCCTTTTCCTGTTATTCCGGTCACGTCCTTCCTCTTCCATTCTGAGTCATCTGTCTCTTTAAAATGCTGCGTTCAGGTGCTCACTGCAGCATTCTAGGCCTTCTAGATATTTCCAGCGCGATAATTTTGAACCGTTTTTGGACGCAAATGTTTGAGTGTGTTTTTTAAATTAAATGTATAATTTTAATTGCTCACTCGGTAAAACAAGTTTCTGACCTGAAGAGCAATTACTGGACTCTGAATAAGCCTGCGGGTTCATGAATTGGGTGGATGGTAAAACTGGTTTAGTGCTCTTGTACTTTTTATCCTTCATTGCAACTCTTCAGGTTTTCAAGTTCTCTTCTTACACAAATGCATGATTTGTTTGCACGTTTGTGGTTTGCTAAAGATACCACCCAGTGCTGTAAGTTTTTCACAATTTACATACCTGTCAAATCTCCCGTTCTGACCGAGAAACTACCGTTTTTTAAAACCCCTTCCCGCCGTGCCCCCTTATTATTATTTTCCCGTAAAAATCTCGTGTTGTGTCGCCCACTCTCATGATAGTTTCTCTCCCTCCCCGCCCTCACGTTAGTAATAAAGCTTATCTTACGTTAGTCTCGCGTATTCAGATTCTATAGCACTGATAGATACCGAACGTATTCGCTTAAGGGGTAATAAGCAATGGGGTTCGCAGTATTTTTTCCAGGGATGGTCACGGCCTCCCTTTAGGGGCGGCCCTGTAGGCAACCGAAAGGGAGTTTGATTGACTTTACTGAACGCTTCTAGCTCGTAGCATTACCAGAATAAAACGTCGGGAGTGATAAAATGAAATAAATACTAAACAGGCCATAATAATAATAATAATAATAATAATAATAATAACAACAACAACAATAATAATATGTATTTATAGATTGTCTAGAGATCTAAAAAAAAACGTATTTAACAATGTAAAGGTAAAAATCGTCTGATGAGACCGCACACGTGCGGCCCGACATGAATTCTATTATTTCCGAGCGGGCCCTGAAGGCATCAGCAGTCCTCCCCGCTTAGCGAGCCGCCGCACATTCGCTGCCCCGTGAGTGGCGGAGGCGGAGGCTTGACAGACGTATGAGCGAGTCAATCTCCTCCGCCCGTGAGTCCCGGTGTCCCGCGACCCACTCCCCGAAGCTCCGCCCCCTCCCCCGCTACTGGGGATGGACTGCACATTCCTCACACTCCGGATCTCGGTAGTATCGAAGCGCCGCGGCGGAACGAAAAGGAGCCGAGGACACGACGGATTTGTACGGCACATGAAGAGTGTCAAGGGCACGTAAGGTTGTTATATTTAAAGATTAATTTTGCTACAATTATTTGCAAATTTTGCTGCTTTTTTTTTTTTTTTAACTTGAATTTCAAGGGGAGCCAGTGTGTTCTCACTAAAGTGGGGAAGGGGTCAGCTGTGTTCTCACTGCGTTCTAGGCAGATAGAAAAAGGCTGCAGACCGAACTGGACTTATTTACAGGTGGTACGTGTAAATAGTGTTTTAAATACTAGGCTTCCTTTTATTTCGGTTTCGGGTTTTTGTTTTTAAATTATTATTATTATTTTTCATCAAATCTTTCCACAGAAACTTGAATCTTTGGGTTTGGGTGGCCAAACTTACAGGGTAAGCTTCGTGTAACTTGTAAAAGCAAATGAATTGAGGGAGAACCGTGGATAACTGAGGGATGAGTAAAGTCTGTCAGCCTGCAGGGTGTCTGACAGTGAGTCACAACCTTTCAAATGTTCTCAGTAACACGTCTTGTATGGAGGAGACACACACGTCCAGCCCGGCCACTGGTACAGTTTGTTCGCCGCTCATGTACAGTAGAAGCAGCAGCAGCAGCAGGTCAGATGTTTGCACATTAGCAGAGCGCCTCCGATTTAAAAGACAAACTGTAATGTGTTTGGCTGGGACTCTTACGTAAGCTGGATGCAGAGCTCAAAGTTTGTGCCCACTGAATCTCATCAGTGGAGCCTTCACATCCATTTATTCACACCATTGGAACTTTTTTTTTTCACATGACAACTTCTTTTGTTGGGATTTTATGTGACAGACCGACAGGAAGTGATGCGTAATTATGAAACAAAAGGAAAAAGATAAACAGTTTTTTTGGGTGAAGAGTGTTGACATTAAACAGATAAACAGTTTTTTTGGGTGAAGAGTGTTGACATTATAACTGCACATTTAGAGACTGTACAGATAGAATTTCCGGTCTTGTTGTAGATTTCTCAATTGGGTTCAGGTCTAGACTTTGACTGGGCCATTTTAACACCTGGAAATGCTTTGTTCTGAGCCATCCTGCAAGCTGCGCACCAATAAATTGGCCCTGATTTCCTTAATTTATTGGGTGATCGACGATTGGCCAATGCATACGTGAAACCGATTTTATCCACCGATCTGCAAAGGCCTGAAAATCAGTCACTGTCCCTTTTTGCTCTGCCACTGGCAGACCTGCTGTGCAGGTCTGCTCATGCGCGTGTGCAGGCATATTTGTTAAAGCTGTCACCCTGTCGTGACACTTTAATATGAGACAGACAGACAATCTGTGAAAAAAAATCCAGCCTTCTGCAGAAATGCACTGTGAAAAACAATCAATCAGAGCCAGGAGGAGGGTCTTAGCACTGTCAATCAACTTCACACACAGGCTGCTCAATGTGCTAATGGCGAAGAAACAACTTAAAGTCCGAGGAAATCTGTTTATCCTCCGTCATCGGTGGCAATGCTAACTAGTCTGAGCATTCACGGTGGGCTCTGCTATCAGGAAGACACATAGCATCGCAAAGAGCAAGGGGGAAGGTGTGGGTAGCACATACACAAGATGATTGTCAGAGCTAACACCCTCCTCCTGGCTCTGATTGGTTATTTCTGTTGTTAGCGCTGGGAGAAGGCAGAGGAGCTCGATTCTGTGTCTTATTTTATGCTGTCACAACATAGTGACAGTTTTAACAAATATGTAAAAAACATATATTTTTTATAAAGTTACATACTGCAGCTTTAACAACAGTCACCCCGCTGTTGTCAACTTAGTGACTTTGTTGCTATATTTTGCGACTTTTCAGACAAACAAAAAAAGAAAATTCACTATGGGCCAAAATTTATTCTACTGTATCTTTGGTTGAATGTTTTTAATGTAGGGAGGATAACCTTCACCTTCACTTCAGTCTCAGTTACTATGTTAAAAGTAAATTTGAATTAGGTGTGCTTCTACTGGTTTGTAACAAATCAACCAGGCTACGCAAAGCCTAATTTTGTTAGACGTTGACGCTCCGTGTGGCTGTAATAAACAAGATGTAGAGGTTGTTGCAAGTTACTGGACTGAACCACACATTTCAGAAAAAATGGAGAGAGTTCTCCCCTCCAAGCTGGAGGTTTGGACTCTGAAATGTTTCCGAGCCGTTCACCAGCACCAGCTCCCAACCCAGCCTAGAGTGCCTCCAGCCAGCCACTCCAGCCTCACCGGCCTCCCCTCCGAGCTGGAAGTTTGGAGTTTCATGCCTCTGGTAAGGCACAAACCCACCAGTGGATGGGAAAGTTTGCTACATCAGAACTTATTTAGCTAACGTGTTTCCGTCTCCCCTTTGACGCACTAACTCTTTTTGGCAAGGGCCGTAAACAACCTTTTAGGAGCGCAAAAACGTTTTTGATGATTTCGAGGAAGTTATTTCACAACACTTCAAAATGGGCATAAAAAAAGCCATTGATGGAAAACTCGGTGAATGTTTGGCAGTTTCCATCGTGTTTCAGGGTGAAGTGGGTGCATGTTTGGAGCAGTTGGTAAAATTGTTTACTTTTGGTAAATTATAATTAGAGGTGTGCCAATCGGTCGGCCACCGATCATAATCGGCCTATTTCCTTGAAAAAGTGTTTGATCGGTGATCGCCGATCACGGTCTCTTGTTGCCGTTAACACAAATCGATCACCTGCATCTCATTTCCCAGCCTGCCTGTACAGCTGGTCTCCTCTTTCCTTCACTCTGCGCAAACGCGCAGCAACAAATCCTAAGCGATGTGGAACTATAACGCACTGAGTGAATGGGGAAGTTTGCGTGTTGCGGCGGAAAATTACCTCGGGGTGAAGCACGTCAAAATGCAATAAACATGACGAATCTAATATGGCATAGAAACAATGCCATACTTGACGGAGTTTGGCTACATCGAGGCTCACTGCAGTAAAAAAAGTACAATTTGCACAATGCCTGCTTTGTTTTTTGATTGGAAAAAGTTATTAAAAACAAGTTTTTGTCTAAATTAAGGTGAATTCATGGTTCCTTTTTCCACATAATGTAACCGGTAGTGCTTATAATTAAAAAAATAATAATTATGTGATCGGTATAGGTGATCGGCCGTGATCGGCCCTCATGGGTGATCGGAATCGGCAGGAAAAAACCTGATTGGCACATCTCTAATTATAATGTTTTTCTACTTTGTCATGGAAAAACGTGACAGAAATCGCGATTTGTTGTTACAATGCTCGTCTCTGATTATGTTAGTATTGACAAGATTTCAGCTTTTGCTGCTGAGTACTCAATCAGATGTAGCTAATTTGTTGAAGTAGCCTGTTGGATTCTAGGCAAGTTTTGTTTTTATATATTTATTTTATATGTTGTTTTTATTTATTTATGAATTTAGTGTATCATAAGCAGACATACTGTTCTAAAGGTATGGTGATCAAAATTTGAAGTCCATTTCACCAGTTTTAGCAGAACACTGACTAATGGAACTGCTAATGAAGCACATTTTTTGACAGGATGTTTTAAACTACTGAACATTTCAAATAGGAAAACCTCAGAAACCACAGCAGCCTGTCGCAGCAGAAAAACTAAACTTGTGCCATTTTAGCTGCAATAACTCTTTCTAGAAATTTTGAATTAATATGAGTGACAACAGTATTTAATTACCCTTTGGGACCAATTAAGTATTTTGAATTTGAAATGAATTTGAATTTTGGCCTTGAGAAGGTTGACATATTAATATTTAGCTGTCTGACTGCAGATATGATCATTTGTTAGCATTAGAGGTGCACCGATTGCATTTTTCTGGCCGATTGCTGATCTTTAAAATGCCTGACCTGTCGATTCCAATTTTGGCAGTTACTGATTTTTGTGTCTGTAACTATGGTAAATATTGAAATAAAGTTGCTGAGATGGCAACAGTGGGGTGACTATTGCTAACTGCAAACATGCAGACCTGGTGGGTCGATCTGCCAGTCTCTCACAGCAAAAGAGGACAGTGTTTGATTTTCAGACCTTTACAGAGGTAGATAAGATCGGCTTCGCATATAAGCATCGGCTAATCCCCCAAAGTTAAGGGAATCGAGGATGATTTATCGGCGCACCCCCAGTTAGCATGTTGTTCAAATGCTTTTTCCCTGATGATCTTTATGAATCGCTGCAGGTCAATGTTGGGTCGAGGTGTGAAGCGGAAGTGGAGCAGCCTGGAGGGTGCTGAGGCCGAGCAGCTCCCCGATGCCGCAGCGACGGAGGACAAGAGGCCAGACACAGCGTTGGAGGACTCAGAGGAGGAGGACAGAGGGGACCGATGGTCCAGGACCGACACCGGCCACCTGCAGCAGCGGCAGCTGGTGCTCAGCCTCTGCCTGGAGAAGCTGCAGCACTACCAGGCCGGCGTGGAGCTCAGCCTGCGGCGGTCCGTGCTCCTCATCAACACGCTCAGGCAGATCCAGGAGGAGATGCGGAGCGACAGGACGGATGTGCGGCTCAGTGGCGTGAACCCCGACAGGCGTCTCCTCAGGGACGACTTCAGGGAGGATGAGTCGGTCACGTGCCCTGGCTGCACGGAGGGAGACGCGGAAGGCCCGTCTCCCCCGCCGTCCCCCGAACCGACAAACACCGCCCCCACGGATTTACAGAAACCTCCGCCCAACGCTGTCGGTCACACCTTTAGCGATGCGGGAAGCGCCATGGGCTACCTAAGTGACCTCGCCCTGGATGATATCTTCGAGGACATCGACACGTCCATGTATGAGACTTCGGAGTTGCCGTCCACCTGGGCAGCCGGCTCCCTGTGGCCGGTCAGCGTGTCCTTCTGGCCCGACGACGACATGAAGCCACGTTCCTCGGCGGGAAGCCTCCAGTCGTGTCTGCTGGACCTGAACGAACTGGACCACATCATGGAGATTCTGGTGAAGTCCTGATCTCCATGACAACGTCACGTGCAGCCGGTCGATCAGAGGTGTGAAGGTTTTGGATTCTGGATGTTTCACACTCTGAACCTGTGCAGACATGAAGCTGAATGACCCTCATCCCTCTTTAACGAGGAACCAGATATGCACTTATTGCTCGTGCCTCAAAGTAGAAAAGAAATATTTATTACAACTTTAGTATAATTTGCATATGAATTATAGATGCACTGATCCACTTTTTTCACAACCAATACCAATATTGATACTGATACCGATATCTAAGGTTTAGAGCCGATCCGATGTAGAAAAACAGCTGAATTGACTTAAAATGTTTTTTTAAAGACAGACATAAATATGCTAAATTACAAATTTATTTGCTAATTCTACACCAGAACAGCTCACCAAAATACACCAATAGCTTCACTAGCTGGTCAAAATGGAAAAACATTTGTTCAGTCAGTGTAATTAGGAGAGGAACAGCTGATAAAACTGATAAAAACAACAGGTTGACTATTTTAGTCGAACATGTAAAAACAAACTGCAGCAAACCTTCTTTCAAATGGTTCAGAAAGAGCAACTAGGGATTATAAATATAATGTAAAATAAATAATAAAGCAGCAAGCGTAGAATTTGACTGAGTAAATCTACCTTTATTGATTGGGCACATCGTCCCTGATAGCCAATCTAGAATGTTTTTCAATATTTGAACTGATACAGATATTAATATGGGATCAGTGCATTTCCAGTATGAACATTTATGTACATATAGGCATTGGCTTATATGAGAGTCTCACAGTATGCTAACGTTGAACAGACATACCAGTTTCATGCGGTTGTGATGCTCCTTTATGTTTCCACATGCTGATTGTTCAAGTTTTAGGTGACTGGAATTATTTTCAAAAATCTGAAAATGTTTTTTTGTTTGTTTTTTTTAAGTGATGGGAAATGCAGTAGCCTTCTTTTGGCCAACGGTAGGGCGGTGTTCAGAAAAAAGTGGGGGAGGGGCCAAGGCTCTGTTACGCTCTGCAGCACAGTTTTAACCAGAAACATTTTAACATTTTGGACTCGGTGTCAGGCTCAGAAAGGCTTACGGAGAGGTTTTTGATTTGAGATCAGCAGATTTATAGGTGATACTGTCCGTGAAGTCAAACTTCATGTAGCAACCGGTAGAATATATTTTCTACCGCTTTCAGAAGCGGACCAGGAGCTCTTTACCTTGACAACAGATTGTTTTAGCTGTGAGGCGAACCAAAGACTATGTCATGTTTGTGTTCCTTCACTTAGTCAAAGCGTAACTTTTCGGAGATCTGCTGTAGTGAAGTTCTGTGTGTCAAACGACAGCTGTGGACGAAGGAACCCGAGTGGCCATGAAAGCTGCGTCACTCAGTCTGTCAGATCAGGCCTGGGTTGATAATTAATTAAAGTCCCTTCAGTTACTCAAGAGGCTGCGCTTCAGCCAGCCAGGAGGGCAAAGGCCTGACTTTCCTGTTAGTTATGGGACTGAAAGCTTTCTTTTTATGGAATGCCAAAAGTGCCACAATTAAAAAAAAAACAACTTAATTATTGCTTATTTATGTCATGTTAAAAAATCTTAATTGAAAATAGAAACATCATCTGAGTTATTTTTTTAAATATACAATGAACTCAAATAATTATATTAATATTTAGTTTTAATTTATTTATGTTCACGCTCGCAGTCAAAGGCATAATTTAATCTGTAATTCTAATCAAATATTGCATCTGATTGGTCAACCTGCACACCAGCTAAACATGCCAATGATAGTAGAGTTTCTAAATTGCTGTTGTGTAAAATTACAAAAACAAAAACTAAGAAAAGAAATCTACTTTTTAAAATTTTTAAATTATATTTCACAAATAATATATTCGTGTCTGAATTCATTACACTTGTCATCTAACAATTTATTATTTTAGTCGTGGCACTTTTGGACTTCCATACACTGCACCAACTTGAGCCTTTTTGGGTAAATAAAAAGTTGCAACTGTATTGTTGAGTATTTTACTACAATCATGTGATCGAAACAAAATCCAGATGTAATTTTTAAAAAATGTTGTTTTTTTTGCAGCAAAAATAATAAGAATTTTTCTTCTTTGGTATGTAAAAGGTGAAATATTGGGTTTGTTGGAATGTTTTAATCTAATGTTATTTTTTATTTATGACTGATAAACCGGCCTCAAACTGCAGTAGATGTGCAAATTTATTGTGTGAATGTAAGTTTAACTTATAATGTTAGTTTGTTTTGGTCTCTTGGTGGAATGGCTGCTGTTGACGCAAATCTACCAGTTATTGTTATGGCAGCTTGTGTTTTGGGGAAATCCAGCATTACATACAAGCAGCAAAATCGTGAACTGTTTTTTTATTTTATTTTTATTGATAAATGTAATCCTAGCTGTGATTGACAATAGGAAACTTTGCCATGTCCTAAAATTGTAAATGACAACAGTTAAGCCTATGTACTCTTAAGGCCTTGTGCTTTTTGTATTCTGGCGATGGGAGGGGTTTTTTTAACAGTTTTGTACTCGTTTCTACCTGAAACTGCAATCTTGTGTCCAGGAAAGGGGGAGGTGGGAACCCAGGGAGCGAATCACGATCTCGATCTTCACTATTTGCAGTTTGCTACTACTGCATATTAGCGCCTTTGCAAATATAGGGGAGAAAAAGTAGTAGATTTCCGAGAAAAACCCCAAGAAATTCTGAGATTACTCTCAGAAATTTTTTTAGCAAAAAGTCAGAAATATCTGAGTTTGAAATGTTGAAAATTTCAGAAAAAAGAACTCTATAATTAATTTGAAAAACAAAAAAACAACAACAAAAAAAACAGAAATCTCGTGAGTTTGAAAAATCAAAAATGTCTGGGAAAAAAACTCAGAAATTTGGGCTTAATATCATTTTCTGAAGGGGTGTTTTCTTCGGAAATGTACTCCTTTTTTTCTATCTAAATTGGCCCTAATACGCCGCCGTAGTTTGCTCTTCTACCTCGCGTTTGTTGCTAGTTTACCTGGACACTCCTGCTTTACCTGCGCTTCGCTCCCCAGAGCCATACGCCGATTGGCACAGACGTTTTTTTTTGTTTCTTTTTTGCTTTCTTAAAAAATGTATATATATATATAATCTTTTTTGTAACTCAGCTCTATGCTCTCCGACCAAAGTATCCTCCACCTCTCCCTCCTCGTCTCTTGTGGAAAATGTGCCTTACTACTGAACCGAACATGTTTATTTGTGCGGAGCTGTTTTGTTGCTGTCTAAGCTTCTGCCTCGTCGTAGAGAAACCGGAGACTTTGTTATGTAAAGCACTCAAAAGCAAGGACTGTTTTTTCCCCCACCCTCATTCTCCTTGGCCATTTTCTGCGCTCGCTGAATTCTACAAGCATATGAGCTTAATGTATCCTGACAGCGAACTAGCTGAGGGAGGAGGAGGTGCGGAGGGCTGGGCGGGAAAAACAAGAGGAGGAGGAGGGAGGAAGAAGTTTTTACGTCAGCGGCTCATCAGGAGGGGTTTGGAGTTTGTTTTTTTGCCCAGACTCAGACCAGCGACCAATCACATGAGATGGGTGAGGAGCTCCAACAATTTTTTTTGTTTGTTTTTTTTTGCTCCCGACTTTCAAAGTGATACAGCTCGATTGTAGCTTGTGAGAAATAATAATAATAAAAAAATGTTTTCTGTTTACCTAACCTGAACACAATAAACCCCGAAGTTGTTCCATTATTTATTATAGCATCAATGATGTCACATTAATCTGTAAAGAAAAAGCTGTATTTTGATGCTGATCATGGTGTAAATGTCACAGAAGGAAGTGTTTTCGCTTACTAATATTATAATTCTTTTATGTATTTTTGTGGAATGTTTTATAGATTTTTTCCCTCCAGTAATACAATAAAAATCCCCACAAACTGCTTTTGTGTGTGAACAAACATTAGTTCAAAGTTAATTGAAAAGCAAAATAAGTCTTTACTTTCTGAATTCCATAATAATAAAACACTTTTTTTCCCCAATTAAAAACAAACAAACTTCAAATTAAGAGGCGCCTTCAAACAATTTGCTCAGAAGATGACGTTATGACTTTGTAAGGATTTGATAGGTTAATTCACAATGCTTGAGCTGCATGCAGGGACAGCTGTGGGACAACGCTCTATTTTTGGCTACTATGCATGAAGGTGCTGTTCATGCAAATATATGGAAGTATATGAAAATCATTAAACTGACCAGGAAGGAGATCAGTTTTGTTACCGAGAGATAAATGAGTTTTGGTGCATATTTAACATACATTGTTAAAATGCTTGCAGCTAGTAAAGTGTTATTATTCTCATTAGTATCATCAGATCTGTGCCTCCGTTGGCCACTGGGGGACGTTTGTGAGCCTTAGTACTCCATCTCAACTGTAGAAATAAGGTGGCAGGATGTGTTGGTATTTTGCTGAAAGAGGGACTGGTGCACTGCACAATATGGATGGCAGCATAAATAAAGAACATTATATTCCTGACTACCAGGAAAAAAATATTGCCCAATCACCATTTTTTTAAATCCCACATTCTTTGTAAGGTAATAACAGGTTTTATGCACTTACTTTGTCTCTTCCCATAAAATGTGTTATTACTGATAAATGCCATTTTTATGAATTAGAAAAAGGTACGTACAAAAGTCCCACCCCTTCACATGTGGTATCATTGAAAAGCCCTAAATGTCCTCTCCAGATACCAAAAGGAATTAATTCAGTAGAATGCAGGGAGTGGGAGATATTCAAGTTTAGAAATGTCCTCTACAGAGGACAAAAATGAACTACTGGTAGTCAGGAGGATATGGACTTATTGAAACAATGTCTCAAGATATTAGCTAAATAGTTAGAGCTACAGAGAAAGAATTCTTAGCATGTAGCCACATCAATTTAATGGCTTCAGTTATAAGCACAACACAAGATCTAAATGTGAAACATAAAAAATTATTAAAAGCCTAACACCACCTCAAAGTGATAAGTTAGAAAAAGCTAAATGTTTTATTGATATAATTGGAATCTCATAATTTCTTAGCACAAGTTTTATTTTTCTCTTAACTAATTATAGTGAAGACATAATGAGTCATTAGAAAAATAAAAACTGCAAACTGCAGAGGTTTCAGAACAGCAACAGTGGCTAATAAGTGTTTGGTTGGTAAATTATACAGTATGTGGGGAGAATAACAGAACACATATGCATCTTAGCTGCCTCTATTCACATTCAATATTTAAAATTCAGTTCATTACTCAAATAGGTAAAAAAAAAAGTTTTCTATCTATGCAAACCCAGCAGATTGCATCAAGTCACTGACTCGCAGCTTTCACTCCTCCTGGACAATCACGTAGCAACAGTCGCTAGCGCTGTGAATCACAACACAGCTCAGTCGATGCACCTCTCCAGCCTTTGGTGGAAACTTTTAACTGCATTTTTTGAATTTCCTGGCTGTAAAAAATTGCAATAATCCATCTTGTACACTTTTATTTTCTCTGTGTTGCAGGTACAGCACGCAAAAGAAAGATCATCGATATCATATCGATCATAAACAACAAAGGACCAAGAATAGATCCTTGTGGAACTCTTGTAGACACAGAGCAGGATTATCTTCCTTCATTTCTGCTGACTGCTGATACAAAGTGTTGTACTGTATAACCAGCCACGCATTAACAAGGAGTTTATCCTAAAATCATGTGTGCTTATAGACATGCTTGTCTTCCCCACCCACAGAGTTTTATTTGGTCTGACAGGCAGATGTTCCCCATCATTATCTGCCCCCAGACTGGCTAATGCTTCTGCATTAATCTGAAGTATTTATAGGTTACATAACGTAGAATCCCAAGCAAAAAAAAAAAAAATCACAATACAAGTATTTGACCACATGTAACTATATTTCGAAAGGTCACAGGTGGGGCTAGAATATTTCTCCTTTCTTTTTACCTAATGTCGGGTGTGAAATAGAAGCCAAGTCTGCCCTCTGGTGGCCACTTTTTACAACACGACAAATTTCCATTTAGAGTTGGGATGACAGTGCAGGTTCAAAAAAGGAAAAAAAAAAAAGATGTAGTTTTCCAGTGTTTGTTGTTGCAGTCTCTTTGCGGCTGTGTGTTTTCAGGCAAGCTGATCCTTGTGCAAAAAGAGTGTGTTCCAGTGAGGAACGACGGTTTCTGGAAACGAACCTGAACACGTCTCAGTTACAAGATTGAGAGCATAGCTTATATTTCATGTACGCTGTTGGAGCACGCAGGTCTGCAGCATCACAGTTCAACCTCCTGTACTGGGTTGGTCCAGTTCAGCTTCTTCTACAGGGGAGCAACAGACTGTGGAGGAAACTCCACTGTCCTAGGGCCTCAGGACCGTGAAAGGCCTTAGCCCAGGTTTATGTGCCTACTGTTGGGCTGCTGGGCAAACCACTGTGTCAGAAATGAATAAAGCTATCCATATCTTTGTATTTATGAATTCAATAGGAGCTTTTTTTTTTTTTCTGAATGAACCCACAGGTTTCCTTGAAGCTGCACTATGTAACTTTTAGGTAA